CTGAATGAAGCTCCTGGCCCCTGGTTTCAGATTGGCTCGGCTCAGCTCGAGCAGTTACAGCCACTTGGGGAGTGAATCATCAGACAGAAGATTTTTCTGTCTCTCCTCTCTGTATATCTAACTTTGCAATAAAAATAAAAACAATCTTTAAAAAAAGAGAAAACATTATTTATTATTTCTATATCAATTTTGCAATGCTTAATTTTTGGTGAAAAATAATTCAATCCATTTTAGCAAAGAGCAGACTGGATATAATAATAGAAGATACTATTTAAATTCCATTTGAAAATGATTCTGAAGAAAAATGTAATGATAAAACATGTATTATTTTTAACATTTAGTTTGAGGATTAAGCATATATAGTAACAGGGAAAAAAGAGTGAAATTTAAGCTCATATTTCACAATGATTCCCACTAAATATTTCTTACAAGATATGTAAAAAAAAAACTTCTCAATAATGTACTTACAATATTAACAGCAAAGCAAATTTTCATTTAAGAATTTAGCAAAACTTCATATTTACAATAGTCTTTTTATTGGGGTCAAATGCTAGACTTCAATTGTTTAGTATTCTGTCATGTGGCAAATATAAACCTAGGTAAATAAAAATGACGTAGAGAACAGTATTATAAAGTAAGTTAGTATGTAGAATTAAAACTAATTTATAAAATTTTAACATTGAAAGGAAGTTCTGTACAATTCTGCAACTGATTTTTCTATAAGGTTGTGTCAAATAGTGATCTTGTTAAATTCTCTAACTCGGAGGTCTGGTGCTCTGGCATAACAACCTCTGCCTGTCAGTGCCAGCATCCCACACAGGTGCCAGTTCATTTCCCAGTTGCTTCACTTCCAATCCAGATCTCTGTCTATGGCAGTAAGAGGCTCCTGGCTCTTGGCTTCAGGGCAGCTTGGTTCTGGTCATGGTGGTCATCTGGGGAGTGACCCAGAGGATGAATGGAAGATTGACCTGTCTTTGTGTTCTCCTTCTCTCTAGCCTTCCTTTCTCTATAAAATCTGGCTATCAAGTAAAAATAAATATATATTTTTTAAATACTCTAACTCACCTATAAGCCATTTTGGATTTGTACATTTTTTTTTTCATTCTCATTTCATTGTTGTGGCTAGGCCTTCCAAAACAGTGCTGGGCAAAATTCATTATACTGGGCAATCTTGCCTTGTCCCCTATTTCAAAGGAAATATTTTAAAGTTTTACCTCTAACAAACTCATTTGCTATATGGCTTTGCGTTAGATGTGCTTTATCCTATTAAATTAAAGAGTTTTCTTCTGCTTCTTGCTTATGTCAACATGTATAATTTGAATTTCACCGATCCTTTGTCACAATACTTTACATTTAGTCAACTATTGCGATACAATTGCTTTTCTAATATTCAGGCATGCTTTAAATGTGAGGATTAACCTCCATTTGGTTTATGAAAGCCTTTGTGTGACTGGACACTTGATCAGGTAATCTTAGGATAAGGATGTTTCTATCCATAATATTGTCCAATCATTTTATTTAGATTTCATGTTATGTCAGTCTCATGAGGAATGTTCCTTTTTTCATATACTTCGGCATATGTATTCTTAATAATAGAGGAATTACTTTAAAATCAAATATGTCACTTGTTCAATTTCTAATTTCAACATCAACTAGTTCTTTGAGTACATAAACATTTTTCGTAAGTTTTATAGCTCAAGAAGTATAAAAATAAAGTATGATTTTAAGCATTTGGTACTGTTTTGTTTCCATGTCTTATGTAAGCAAGCATAGCACATTGCTACCTTTTCAAACTGCTCCCTTTTTCTCACCTTAAACAACAACAATACAAGGAAAAGGGTAAAATTTCAGTAAGACTTTTTCCAAATTGTTTTCATGTAAGCACAGAAAATAATTTATCTTATTTACCAAAGTTAGCCATAAGTAAAAAACACAGTTAAAAAAACAACAACAAAAAAAGGTCCTGTTGCAGGACAGAGGTGGTGGCTGCATGACAGTGCAAATGTACGTCACACAACTGCAAACGTTCTGAACAGGGCTTAAAATGATCACTTATGTAACATATGTTTTACCACAGGTAAAATTAAAATTAAGAAATAAAAATATGCAAGAAATACATTTAGACATATTAATTTGTCATTTTACAAGCTTACCTTTGGGGATTCTATTTTTCTGTCCCAGAGAATATATAACCTTTTAATATAGTGAAATCATACCATTTAATCTTGCTTTTTTTCTGAGAACCAGCAGAGAGAAGAATTTTAGAAAAAGATGAGAAAGAGTATTTCAGAGACAGAGTATGCTCCCATCTGCTGATTTATCTCCACGCTTATGACACTTTTGGCTGTTACAGCTGAAACTAAGAGCCAAGAACTTAAAAGTTCTCCACAAGGGTGACAATAACCTGTTTTTTAGCCACCAACACTGACTCCCAGGTTCTGCATTACCAAAATAGTGTAAGAAACCAGAACTAGGAACTGAATCCAGGATGTGGGAACCACCTGTCTTAGCCAATAAGACAAAGTGCTATTTTTAAGGTACTGTGTTATGGTACTCGTTAGGAAGCTGTTAAAAGGAATGAGTTTCTGGACTTTCTTACACGTATTTGCATTGCGTTTCTCTCAAATAGCTCTCCCCTTAAATTTAAAATTTTAAATCACCTACTACCTAAGATCTAATGAACAAATTATATTACATAGTGATTAGTATTTTGATAATGGATCTGGTAAAACTGAAACCCATTTTACGAATGGGCATAATGATCATATATTTAACTTAAATATCATTATGTAGATGACAATTTCTACTTTATATTTTCAGTATCTGTTTACATTTTAACATCTTCTTTTCAGTCACCAAACCACACAAGAGCATGGTGATACAATCATATACTCAGAAGCTGAATTGTATGAGTATTATCTTAAATCCTGTAACATCATTTTAGGTTATAAAACATGTATTTAATCAACTGGAGTGGCTTTTAATGGTATTTTAACTCCATGGTGAGTTTTACTTGAGCAACTTAAAATCCAGTATATTATTCTTTGAAATTGATAGTCTGAAAATAGTGTATTAAACCACTTCCTGCAATAGTGGCATCCCATAGGGGTGCTGGTTTGTGTCCCTGTCCACTTCCCAACCAACTTCTTGCTATTGTGCCTGGGGAAGCATTAAAAGATAGTCCAAACCCTTGGGTCCCTGCACCTATGTAAGAGACCTGGAAGAAGCCTCTAGCTTCAGGCTGGTCCAGCCTTGGCTGCTGGGGCCACGTGGAGAGTCCATCAGTGGAAGACAGACCAACTCTCATTCTTTCCTCTCCTTTCTAACTCTACCTTTCAAATAAATTAATTAATCTTAAAAATTAAATCTAGAAAAGCCAATAAAACAAATGCCACTACATTTCAGTTTCAGTATATGCTAGGTCTATGATTATTGCTTATTAGGCTTTAAATTATTTTCTTTTGATATGATAAATGAAATGATAATTATATAATAACAAACATTAACCATGTTGAAAAATACTCTTACTCTTACTGACAGGTGGGCCACAACACTGCTAGGGCTTGGTTCTTTGACTTGACTAAACATTTTTTTGAGTCTTTACAAAATAACTAAGATGATATAGCCCCTGAGTTATCAGGTATAATATGACATTAAGTATGCAATAACAGTTAGCTCTTATTTACTTAAGTATATTGCAGCTTACAATTCAATTTGGAGCTCATGTCTTTCTCGGAATGCCCAAAGGAATAGAGCACTCTTTTATGTAGGTGAATTTCTCATTTCAAAATTTAAAAATATTTTCATAACTAGTTGAAATTTTTCTAGTCATAACTATACCATGGGATATTTGACTGTAATTTTAAATTGAGATATATTTTAAAGATTTACTTATTTATTTGGTGAAACACACACACAGTTTTTCATCGACTGGTTAACTCCCCAGATAGCTGTGACAGCAGTGCTGGAAAAGGTTGAGACCAAGAGCTAGGAGAGAGTCATCCATTTCCCATGTGGGAGACAGGCTCAAACTGGCAGGCCATTTTCTACTGAGCTGGATCAAATGTGGAGCATCCAGGAATCACACCAGCCCCATATAGGATGTCAGCATTTTAGGCAGTGTCCTTATGCCTGTGCCCTACGACCTATGCCATAATGCCAGCTTCCAAATACCTGTTTTTTCAAGGACTATTTTTTAAGTGCTGTGTTTCAGAATAACTGTCATGCTTAAACTGAAGAACTGTGATCCGTTTTAAAAAGTGCATGGTTGTGAACTTGGTAGGCTCTCTGGTGGATTGCTCATTTGTTGTTTTATGAGAGAATGCATTACCGTATATGTATTGGCACTAACAAAACTGTGCATTATTAAAAACTCTATAAACATTTAAAAATTCAAAAACACTGAACCAAAATAAAGTTTTCATTCCATTTCTTCAAAGAATTGAGGTAGCCTCATATATGATTATATAACCAATGGAAAGATGCAAAATATCTCTCAAACTGAAAAAAAAAGTGTGTTTGTATGCACATAGCACAAATTCAGATTTTAAAAAGCACAGACATGGGATGGATACTTGGCATTATGATTAAAATGCTACTTCGAATGTTTGTATCTCATTTTGGAATGCCATGCTGTAAATTCTAGCTCTATTCTTGATTCCACATTCTTGCTGATGTGTGCCCTAGTACAGATCAGGTGATGGTTCAAATAATTGACTGGGTACCATGCACATGGGAGACCTAGATTAACTCCAAGCCTCTTAGTTTTGTTCTGGACTGGGGTCGTAGTAGTTGTCAATCAGGGAGAGAAACAGTACATTAATGATCTCTCAGTGTAAGTTTTTAACTCTGTGTAAAGATATCTACTTTGAAAATGATGCATATGTTAATATGGCAAAATATAAACAATGTTGATTGGACACTACCTTTCATCAATTAATCAGCAAATAATCATGTTTCATAAAAAGGAGATGAATAGATTTAAAAATTTTGGAGACATCTTATTTACATATGCTTTTATTAGGTGAAAATTTATTCTGTATAACAAAAGTATCACTTTTAAAAGTGTGCAACTATAAGACAGAAAAGAGTAACTTACAACTCAGATGACATAGTGACAGAAGTTTGACAACCTCCATTGAAAGAGCAATCAATAGGTCTTTATACAGTCAAAACAATCAAAATAATTAAACCTTACAAATAATGTAAAATTTCACTAAAATTCATTCATTGCAGATATCACTGTGTTTTAGCAGCTATTTTAGCTTATTGATTAAAAGGCTTTCTAAAACTAAGAGTATCCTTATTTCGGAGCATAACATGAACTATATATTTCAAGTCAAATGGTAAAGGCAGTTGTAAAGAATACCTGAGGGAAGATTTTTATTTTATTCCTAAGAAGTAAGGAGTTTCAAACACAGCTGCTCAAATCTCTCCTATAAAATGGTGCAATGTCTGTACGTAACCTGTTAGTTTCCCCATATTCTTTCAACATGGCCACATCAATTGTGTACCTAACACACCCTAAATAATTCTCAACTGGTACTGTTTGGAGCATAAAGAGCTAAAAGAAACAAAAACAAAATAAAAGACTCTGTACATGTTTGTTCAGTACATATTTTTTTTTCAATATTTTCTATCTTGGCTTGAAACAGAAATAAACTCATGAATGAAAAGATACAAATGCAATGGTTTTACTTCAAAAAGGAGAAAATATATTTTAAGAATTATAAATTAGTAAACCTTTACGAGACCAGATACCAAATATTCTTTCCTTGAGAATAAACCTTCCCAGTGAAGACAGGATCTGCCTTATCTTGAGATCTCACTGTTACTTTGCTACTTGGATGAATGACTTGGAGAACTGTAACAGAGCTTCTGAGTGAAGCATAAAGTAGTGGTTTAGCTATGTCAGCGATGGATATCAGATAGAATGTGGTGGATATCCACACTGAAGTCTTCCTGATGCTTTTTTGTTTCTCAAAGACATAACTGTCTCTAACTCTCAGAAGTATTTCAATATTTTTTTTTCCCACAGTGATTCAAGTACAAAACAAAAGTAATGATGGAAATTCCTCTTTTAGAAGATATTTCTCACAAAACTTTAATTAAATATAGTGTAACTGGTTGCTAGATCTGACATATTCCTAAAATAACATAGGTATGGTTAACTGATATAAGAAAGAAATTCACAATTTATATGCCACCATAATCAACCCTTAAATAATACAAGGTAGTTAACTGGGTCTAAGAAAAAAACTTCAGTTTCTATTTGTAAGTTCTTTACGTGAATGTCAATGGCTATCATGCCATTATATTGGTTCATACTTATTTCTTACATAAAAGTATTATTACTATTTGCACTAACAGTCTATGGCTTGATTGTTCTTTGAAAAATGATTAATTTTTAGGAAATAAATAAAGCTAATCTTAATGAAATTGAATTGCATTTTATTTAAATCCATTTTAAGAGTCATTTTATCATCTAATGGCTATTTTATGATAAATTTACGGGAACCCCTTTCTGAATTAATGTTTTCATACTCTGAAAATTTATGTGTTTTGTGTCATACTACCTACTACTCTTAATAGAATTAACTATATTATAAATAAAAAATGATGTAATTATATATTAGATTTTTGCAGCAGTTATAGTTCTACATATCTATTAATAGAATGCATTTTATTATTAGTTTATAAAGCAATTAAGTTTTAACATACAATTGATCAATTTGACTGTCAAAATGCAGCAAGCAGCTATTGATCACAAGTATTTTAATCTAAAAGGTGTGTAAAATATAACATTTAAATCAAGGATATTATGTGTATGGGAATTTAAAGTTCTTAAGCAATTTCAAGTAAATAACAAGTGCTTTTTATTTCCACATCTCTAAAATCTGACTGTTTTGGCTACTTTTGGTTATAATAAAATCTAAAAAGATAATCCAATTGTAGAAACAATTTTAGTTGTTAGCACTAAAGATATGAAAATCAAAGTAATAATACATTAAAATGCTATGTTACCTTAGAAATGATACATATTGAAATATTGTATATTTATAACAATTATGAAACAACTGTCTCCCTAACAATTGAGAAGCAATCATAAACTTTTATTGAGGTACTTTCCAACCCTTCTGAAATCTGTAATGTATGATGAGAATGCAAAAATAGTAATCATGCACAAAGTGGCAAGCTCTATGTAACCCTGAATCTGCAATGATGGCGTGGATTATGACACAGAAAGTACGCCTTCCTGAAGACTTAACTTACACAATTAAAAACGAAAACAGTATTTTAATGTGTTCCTGATTCACAGTAAAAATCAGAGTAACAGTAATTTTATCATTCTTAAAAATGGCATCATTTTAGAGTTATTCAGTCTGAATATCAATATAATTGTGTTGTTTGAGTCATTGAAAAACAACACATTTTTTTGAAACACATGTGGAATAGCCATGTTATGAGTTCTTTAGGCCCAGTATGCACATCTGATTTAACTGTGTGCTAACTCCTTTATGGAACAAAGGCATTTATCTACAGTGGAATGACAGTCATTGAACTAGAATTTTAATTTCAGTTAGGAACACAGGAAATTACACCACAAGGAATGTTATTTGTACAGTTTTTATCTCAGATATTTTTTCAGTGCAATAAAGAGTAGCGACAACCAACAAATCTTAAAATGCCATTTATATGAAAGAATAACAGAAACAGTGTATATTGATTTGGACAGGTTTTCCCCATAATTCAAAACAAAACAAAAAAAACTTTATTTAAATCATGGGCTTCTGATAACAAGGACTCCTTAAGCAATGTATCAATATGCATTAAACATCTTAGTATAAGTTGTTCTTTCTTTACTGTATCTTTCAGACCACTTGCGAGTTAATTCCAGATAAAGACCTGGTTTATGAGGTCGGTAATCTAGGTATACCGTATTGCTGGTTCTTTTGGGAACAGCTTTTTCAATCTGAGTTCCTTCATGCCACTCATTAAAAGATGTAATGGAAATTAAACTGGGTTGAGCCTGAATTGCAGCAGTCATAGACACTTCATAATACTTCCCATTGATTCGGTTTCGAGTGTTTTGAGTATTCCATGGACGGATGCTGGTGTCTATGTAACCCGGACCCACGCTTGGGATGAACATCAAATTGTATCTGTCACAGAAGACTTTTAGTTTGGGCCAGTTCTGGTGTGACGAGCCATAAGTAAAGCCATTTGTGGCAAAGTAGGTGTAAATTCCATCAAAACCACTTCGAAGAATATCATATTTATGTTTTTCTTCTACCAGAAGTGCAATAAACAAACCATCATAAGGAGAATTGCGAACACTGTGAGCACCGGAAGGGGTTAACAGATTGATCCATTTTTCAGGCTTTGTGATATAAGAATCATAGATATAAAACATAGGAAGGGTATTCCCAGCCTCTGTCTTGTATCTGTAAAAGGCAGAATGATTTCCGTATCTAGAATACAAACATATGTAGAAGTCAAATGAATATTCGCAAGTTACTTTTCACAAACACTGTGTAAGCCCTGGACAAAGTAATTATTAGGAATTAGCTTATTGGTCAGTATTTGGGGGGGGCAGCAATAATAGAAATTAAATCATTAAAATGCACTTTTTAATTTCACACTTTAAAAATGAGGCACTGGGTATAATACTGACAAACAAGGGATAAATGATCTCATATTAAAATTTAAAAAATGATGACAAAAGTGATTTAGATGTCCTTTGTTCTTTACATGAATACATAAACTGCTTTTTCTTTTGAAATAAATATCCCACTGTGGTTGGCAGGTTTCTTTTTTGAGAGTATGGCACCTGTCACAGACTTTTATCAGTAAAATCCTTTAACAAAAAAACTACATTAATACAATATTTACTTGCAACAGACATACAAATTAAGGCACAGACTTATAAAATCAAGCTATATATGTAACCAGTAATATAAAAGTACTTTACATTTAGTAATCTGAATCTCCATTTAAAAAAAAAAAACAAAATTCTGTAAGATTTAAAAAATATTAATTTAGGTCATGAATGACCTTATAAACTTGTAAAACAAGAAAAAGAACAATCTTTATTCCTAGTGAAAGTGAATTGTAAGAAACTTCAGAAATATTCCTCAAAATGATTGTGACATTCATTAATATAATAGCTTAAATTAATTTTATTACGAACATTTCACAAATCATGCAAGAATATGAAATGTAATTTAAACATACTGTTACTACTAAAATTATTACTGGATCATAGATCATGAATTATAAACACTGAGGAAACTCACTTGTCTATTATATATTTGACATTTTTATACATGTTCTGATCATCGCGATTGTTATACGGTTCTATATGAAAAGTGACCTGAAACAAAGAAAAAACTAAATTGGAGTAAAAATTAAAATCTTTTCCATATCCATATTAAATGATTAAACTACACTGAACATAAAAGATACCATATACATCTTAGTAACAGCATTTACTAACAGTTTCTTCTATTAAAATATGCTAATAATTTTGCACTAATTACCTCAGTTAATAAGCCTATAAGATACTTATCATTACCTTTACTTTCGAAATGATCAAATCATGGTTTAAATAATTTCATTTACTTGCTAAAGTTTATACAGTTACAAGGAAGCAACATACATGATCAGAATTGACAATCCAAATGTTCAACTACTGAACAAAGTTTCTTTCCATACGTTTAATCCTTAGGAAATGGTAGTGTAAGCACATTTTTATGCTATATAAAATATAAGGGGATAGGGCCCAGCGGCGTGGCCTAGCAGCTAAAGTCCTCGCCTTGAACGCCCCGGGATCCCATATGGGCGCCGGTTCTGATCCCAGCAGCTCCACTTCCCATCCAGCTCCCTGCTTGTGGCCTAGGAAAGCAGTTGAGGACAGACCAAAGCCTTGGGACCCTGCACCAGTGTGGGAGACCGGGAAGAGGTTTCTGGATCCTGGCTTCGGATCGGGATAGCATCGGCCGTTGTGCTCACTTGGGGAGTGAATTGTTGGATGGAAGATCTTCCTCTCTATCTCTCCTCCTCTCAGTGTATCTGCTTTTCCAATAAATAAATAAATCTTTAAAAAAATATATAAGGGCATAAACTTTACTTATAGACATACCTTTATTCAAGAAAAGTTCAAAAACTGACCCAAAAAACTCTGGGCTTTTTTCAAATGTATGACCACTAGGCTTATTTCATATGGAATCAGCAGCAAATTTTTTCAATTGACAAAAAAATTGTTTTTTATAGTTAAAGTAGCAGTTTACAAACTGATCTGTACTAAATTTCTACTTTATTGAAATCATTTACAAAAACTACTGAAAAGTAATATTTACAAGTTCAGAGAAAAATTGTCATGCTTAGTGACTTGATTTATCTCAAACACAGAAGGTAGTAACTAAAATATTTTTGAATACCATGCACAAATTTAATGTTTTTATCTTTAAAAGGTGAGACATACATAAGAAAAATAAATCACAATGTCTGAAGTAGTTTTTATGTTACACTGACTTTTACATAAAACTATTTTGTACATTACTTCTGATAATTCAGATAGTACAGATAATATTTCCCTTAAATCACTATTTTAACATTTTTGAAGCAAAGAACATGACCATTTTTGCTTCTAGTACCAATTTTACTGATTTACCAACAGCACTTAAAATATTTATTGCCATGTAATTAAGTCAATAAGACTTAATTTTAGGTTTTGGTCTGAAAGAATTACATGTGAACTAGAGACTTCCCCACTACTTCAATATAAACCTTCTTCATGTTCAAGTATCCAATTAAAACAAAATCTCTTTTAAATTAACCAGTGCTATCAGTTTTCACAGAACTGATTTTAAAGGTGGTATTTACTGTAAACATCATTCTGTTTTTAATAGAATTAAATTACAGCAATATTACATAAATGAAGGTAAGGTTTTGTCAGTAAGAAATTAAGATCAATTACTTTTTTCATTATTTTGTTGGTACTATATGTATTATAACTGTAAACATATACTTTTATTAGCTTTTGAATATTCTTTTTTTCTATTTTGTCATTCATTATATTTTGCTTCTCTTCTTATTTATTTAAGATTATATCAAAAGTAGAATGTTATATAAGGTGACTAACTATAGCATAATACCACAAATGGAATAGTTGGCCCTTCCATAACTCACAAAATTGGAATACTGTAAAGTTACAATCACAGAAACAAGCAATCCAATAAATGCATACATCACAAAAAACTGCCCTTGAACTTCACTGAAAAGTTTAAACAGTAATATTAGACGTGTTACAAAAATAACACTGGATAAATATATTTTATGTGTATGTTGAGTAAATAATATACGAATATACTTAAATATCACACTGGAAAAACTAGCTATTTCATTTTATCTGTTTCATTTTTATTCTTTTCAAAAAAGAATTTATAACTTATGTATCATCTTTTTTTAAAGAATTATTTGAAACGTAGAGTGATAGAAATTGCTTATCTGCTGATTAACTTAAATGGCCACAGGAGTCAGGCCTGGAAAGTTGAAATCTAGAAGCTTTTGAATATTCTTTAAAATGATTTTGCATCTTATTTGAAAGCTGAAGAGACACATACATACACATGGAAACAGACAGGGATCTTTCTCCACTTGTTCGCTCCTTAAATGCTAATGGCAGCCACAACTGGGCCAGATGGTAAATGGGAACCTGCAGGGCTCACCTAACATTTCCACGTGGGTAGCCGGAATGGGAGCACGGAGCTATTCCCCGGGGACCCCGGAGTGAGCAGCAGGAAGAAGCTGGACCAGAAACAAGTGAGACTGGAACTGAGTGCTACGATGTGGCATCCTCAGTGAAAACTTAAACACCTGGCAAAAATCTCTTTTTCATATTTGCTCTTTAGCAAATTTAGGTACTTTAATATTGGTGTAATATTGTATTTTTAGTTGTTTCAGATACAATATTGTATTTTCTAATCTCCCATTTTATATATAATTAGTCATATCTAAACAAATATCCTATATCAAAATGAATTTGCCTTTATAGCTGTGAACTAAACGGTCAGCTTCGTCTGTTAAGACTAAATCAATTGAACTAGTTTCCCAATAAATCTAAAAAACCATTATTGATATAATATTGATCATTTTTGTTCACTTTTTTTTAAGATTTACTTATTGTTATTGGGAATGCAGATATACAGACAGAGTGGGGAGAGACAGAGAGGAAGATCTTCCATCCGATGATTTACTCCCCAACTGACCCCCAACAGCTGGTGCTGCACCAATCCGAAGCTGGGAACCAGGAGCTCTTCCGGGTCTCCCACATGGGTGCAGGGTCCCAAGGCTTTGGGCCGTCCTTGACTGTTTTCCCAGGCCACAAGCAGGGAGGTTGATGGGAAGTGGAGCTGCTGGGATTAGAACCTGTGCTCATATGGGATCCTGGCATGTTCAAGGCAAGGACTTTAGCCACTAGGCTACAGCACTGGGCTCTGTTCTAACTACTAAACTGGAATATTTCTAACTACTAAACTGGAATAAAAGTGCTTTGCAGTTTAATACTGTGACATGTCAGAATTTCTCCCTTCCATTTAGAAAAATCTATTAAAGTAACATTAAAATATTTGCATAAGGGTTGCTCAACATCAGAAAAAACATGATATTTGTTTTTGGAATTGGCTCATTTCACTCAAGGTAATGGTCTACAGTTGGGACCACTTTCCTCCAAATGGCAGAATTTCATTCTAATGGAAACGTAGTTTTCCATAGAGTAGATGTACTATAGTGTCCTCATACCTTCCTCTTGCAAAAGGCATCTGGGTTCTTGCCACGCCTTTGTTACTGTGGACAGTGCTGCTATGAATAAAGGCTGCTTTTTCATATATAGGTTTCACTATTTTTATATTTCCAGGAATGGGATTGCAGAGTCATATGGTATTTTTTGTAAAGTCCTTAGAGTATTCTCCGGCCTAGAGTGTGTGCTCAGGCTGGGGGTTGTTCACCAGCACTATGAGAAACTGGAATACTTGGTTTTTGTGGCTAACTTCCGGTTTTCAGTGCTAAGGACAAACAAACAGCCCTGCCACTTTTCAACAATACTGGGGTGACAGATCTTTGTTTAAAATCTGTTCTTTGGTGGACTGAATAGACTCGGCTGGAAAGCTGATTTTGATTTGGTAGGCCTCTTATAATATGGATGATTGTCATGAATAATGAACCCTTGGCAAGTCAATAAACTAGCTTTATCAATCTGGAAGTTACAGAAGTTTTTCTTTCCACATGTGCAGCTCTTTTCAAGTTCTTTCATCAGTCTCCTGCTGGGCAGCATCTTGGGGAAAATTAAAGCTTGATGGGCTGGGATGGCTCTGTTCCAGGTTGTAGGTGAAGTCTGAATCAGCTCTACAATTCTGAATCCCAGGCAAAAAGCTGTATATTCTCATATAAGAGAACAGCAGAACAGCATGTGATATGCAACATGTTTTCTCACATTTTGAAACAGGTCATAAAGCCAAATCAAGCATTAATGTCTTCATTGCCAATCAATATCATGAGAAACTATGTATAAATTTCAAGTTCTCTTGTGATAGCACAATCAATTTAACTTTTAATTCTACTTTCCATGAACTTTCTAAAGTTATTTTTTTAAGATTTATTTATCTATTTATTAATATTGGAAAATCAGATATACAGAGAGGAAGATCTTTCGTCTGCTGATTAACTCATGTAGCTGCAACTGACAGAGCTGAGTCAATCCAGAGCCAGGAGCCAAGAGCTACTTCTGGATCTCCCACACGGGTGCAGGGTCCCAAGGCTTTGGGCCGTCCTTGACTGCTTTCCCAGGCCACAGGCAGGGAGATGGATGGGAAACAGGTCCATATGGCATCCAGGAGCATGCAAAGCGAGGACTTTAGCTGGTAGGCTATCACGGCAGGCCCCAAATTTTCTGAAGTTTTATTGTATGCCTGTTCTTCCCAAGGATGGGAAGTATAACGATATGTGCAAAACAGTGTTACAGCTCATAGAACATCTTTGTCTCGTCTCACTGAAAAGATTTTATCATTGTTTTGTTAGTAATGGTTCAGGGTAGAGGGACAGAGTGGAAAGGATCCTTGTCTGATTTCCATATTCTCTGTACTGTCAACTCAGTGATACCTATATGTTCTACTGCCCTTTTGTTAGAGTGATTATGCTGACAAGTCTATAACAGAAGAGATAAACTAGCCTTCTTAGAAATGATTTTGTCATTTCCATCAAAACCCCTTAAACTGTTTAGCTCAGGGGGTTCGGGGCAAAAGCAGCTCCCAACAGTGTGATGTCTGTGGGGGGGTGCCCCTGCCGGGCCGGACCCAATGCTGGGGACTCAGGCCA